AAGAAATGTTCTCTACCGTAATGGGAAAATCAGGACTATACAAAGCATAGTCAGCCCTTGTGAGTAATTTTTAAGTTAAACTCTTTTAAAATTTATGAGTTATGATATAAAAACAATGTGTTAGAATTACTGCTTAACTTTTTGATACACAGGGAATATAAATAACAAAACAACTTAAAAAAATCTTATTAAATTTTCTGCATCACAGTACATTGCCCTACCCAAACGATACTGTAAATTTCTTTATTATGTTATTTTCAGTATTTGAAACTAAATGTGTTTTAGCTTCTCTCTAATTCTTACACACTAGAAATCAGAAATTATGTTGAAGAGGAAATATTCAATATTATTCTTTACCACTGCATGCATGAACTTTTATAATTTCCTAAAACATATTTATCAATGTCTAATTCTAGACCTACAGTTAGTATTTTCTCCCAGAATATATATTTCATTATTTACATTTTATACTTTATTCTTGATTTTTTCCTAGAACATGAAATTTTAGAAGTGCTGATCAGTTTACTGCAGAATTTGTTTTGTCTGCAGGTATTAATTTTAGCATTTTGAACTGAAGAAGTAGAGAAAGGTAGAAATTTGCTAAATTGTATTATAACACAACATATTTTAATGTAGATTACTGAAGTAAATACATAGGTAAAATAATTCTTCATGTAGCTTATATTTCTCCTAAAATTAATTTGTAAAATTAGTTCAAGGCATTAAACAGAACAAAGTATCCTCAGATATTGTACAGAAAGATACTTGTACTGTGGTTTCCATGTATATGGGATTTAATACTTTGATTCCAAAACATTATTCTTGGCTATGGTATGTTAATAAAAAAGTGCTTTGTAACTGATAACAAACAAACAAACATACTCCTTAACTCATAGCTTAATACCCAGCAAGATACAGCTATTCCTAAGAAATTAAGATGCCTATAACTTACTTCAAAAAAAAATAAATCTGTAAGCACAGATTATAATATTTTGTCAATCCGTTAGCCCAATGTCTTTATTTTAAAAATGTTGAGTGGCTTCCTTTAACTTAGGTTTCTAGTTTGTGGCAGAGTCAGAATAAGACCCCTAAGTTTAATTCACTTTTGCTTTTTATTCTTCCAATATTCAACTATTTAACATAGTTATTAAAAAATGTTTAATTACCTATTGGAAAAGAGAACCTTATATTAGATTTTAACCTACAATGAAGGAAGTGATTACAATACTATATACTAATATTCATCTAAGATAGCAAAGCAATGTCATTTACCTTAAATTTACGTCTCTGCTCTGCACAGCTGTTGAAGAACCACAAGTCTGTCTCATGGCTGTAAATGTAACAAGAACAATAATGCGACCAATTTTCATACCTAAACTAAATTAAGTAGATTTGTCATAGGCTAGAAAACTGATAATGTATTTTACAAAAAAGATTTAAAATTTATAGATTATGGAAGTGTGCATGTGTGCATATGCATATGCAAATGTGTGTCTGTGTGCATGTGTGTTTTTAAAAAGAGTAAAAGAAATTCACTCTTTTTAATCTGGAAATTAGTTTCATGAAATTGAAAGCATTACTTATTCTCTTTGGCTAACTTTTCTTTTTATGGACCACTATGGGTATAGCAACCAAGTCTAGGAAGTGCCAGGAGTAGATATTAATAAATATCATAAATCAAGATAAGAGGCTGTCTTCAGCTGTTATAGTATGTTTTCTGGGATACATAGTAAGCACGTAAAGAAGAAACATCTGGTAATGCTTAGGTTGATATCAGCTCCCATTTGCATCACAATCTTTATATATTATTAATCAATATGTCATTAATCAATGTACCTACTGATTGGACCTATTCAACAGGTGTTTTATGTAATGAATAGAAAATGTAAACATGTTTCAAATACATATATTCAGATACCTGTACATGAAAGTGAAATTACTACACAATCGGTACTCAAGCTTGTCAGATGTGATTTTTTTTCTTTCCATTTTGTATTAGATAGGCTAATATCTATGCCATCTGTAGCACAAAACCCTGAAAAAATGTAAATGAGAAAGTAATAGTAGATAAATACTAGTCTGCTAGAAATAGACTCTCTACCATGTCACACTTCAAATCTGGCTACCATTTCTCAATATTTAAAAGAAATCAGTTGAGTGTAACAAGACTTAATATTGTTCTTGTGACTTGAGCCATCAAAACAGATTTTTAAAAAATCTGTATTTTTTCAAACTTTATAAAATAGTTCTCCATCAAAACTATATTTTAAAATGAAAAACGCAAACTCTCCCTTGGTCCTCTAAAAATGTGTGATGCCTGATAAAGCACAAACCACCATGATTTATTATCAAGCACCAAATACCTAGCCTTTGCAAGTGCAGATTTTGAAACATGTTCAATTATCTTTATGAATTTTAAGAGATAATCTGCACCAACTCTATTTTGAAAGATTGGTGAAACTCTTAGTTAAGCAGAAAAAGAACCAGACCGTGAGAAAATCATAAAGGTTTTAAAGTGTTAATTTCATATTAAATGGTTAAAAATTTTAACAAAAATATTCAACCTTTTCTTTAACATAAGTGGTAATAGTGTAACTCACAATAAATAGCATTTGCAGATGCAAGGATATAAGCATTACCTAATATCCTCATTTAACAACATATGTAAACCAGTATAAAATGCTAGTAGGTTTTAAACACAATCGCAGTATGTTTACCATTGCTAAACTTATCAAATACTATGTATACTAAAACTTCAGGCTCACATTATATTAATAGCAGTGTATTTTTTGGTGAACAGATAAGTCTTCATTCATTATTTCTAAATTCTCATTCATAAAAACCAACTGTTCATTCCTATGACATTCTGGCATTAGACCTGATTAAAATACAAAATAATAAAAAAATGCTACAGTTTTATAATTTATACAATGGAGATATATTCATATTGATATGCATCATAAAACACTAAATATAAGTGACACAAGAAAAGTCTTTGTAGTAATGGTTAGCACCTGAAATTGTTAAAAGGTATTTAAATTACTTTCAATCACCCTTTCACAATAAAATAACAAAATTGAGGACTTCTGCTCAAAATTTTATTTATACAACATCTGGTACATGAGCAACAATTTCTGATTTTAGAGTCATTAATATTCCTACATTATATGTGTGTGTTTTCTAAGAAAAATTATGGATATTTTAGTTAAACAAAGTATCAAATCTTGCCTTCCAATACAACAACAACAAAAAAGAAAGAAAGAAAGAACAAAAGAAAGAAAGAAAGAAGGAAAGAAAGAGAAAGAAAGAAAAAAACTAAAGCTCAGCCATTCTTTCCAGAGATGCCCTGGTAACCAGCAATAAAGAAACTTCTACTGGACTTAGCTTTGGGGAGGAAGGAACAACTACTTTGTCTATTTTGTCAAGAGACATGTTAAAACAGAATTAGGACAATATGTATGTAGTGTTTTTCCAGTAGTCGAAACAATAAACTCCTACCTTTGGCTTACGCTGCCAGCGTCTAAACCTCCTTTGCTATACCAACAACAGTGCAAAATTCCCACTCTGAAGCCACAGTGAGGGAAACACTTCATTTGCTATCTTCTGTGACTTCCATGTAAATTTTTCTCTGTCATGCAAATATATGGAGAGGCTGTCTTGGAATGACAATTCGATGGAAAGACTCCAATCACTGGCATTACTTGGGGAGAGATGATGGTGAGGAAATTGTGTTGCCATAAAATTACTGATTAAACAAAAGAGCGTGACATTTATTTAAAAAAATTAAAATGAATCTTAAACTCAGGCTGATTCAATACAACGTTTGCAATCATGGCAGACATTTGAACTTTAGACTATTGGAACACATCCCCTCTCCACAAGTCCTCCTTCTTCCCACCCACCTCCCACAAATGGGTTTGTTCCCAAGAATATATATTCTCATCTCAAATTTGTCTAGGGACCAAAAATTTAATCCAGTTTTTACATAATAAGTAGTTTCTGGATTGTGTAGATCAGTAGCCTGTAATTCTCTGTCATACATACTAAACTTCAGGAAGCCATCATATAAGACTTAGTTACTAACATCTGGGAGTACACCTGAAAATGAAAATAGACAGCTAGGCCATTAAAAAAATTCCAAGATTATTTGGGTAAAATAAAGCAACAAGAAAGATGCTTACTTTTTTTTTTTTTCCAAACTAAGCATACCTTATTAGACATGTACATAGCACATGATTCAGGAAAAAGCATTGCTTATCTTTCAACAGAGCTGATAAACATTTTGAAAGATGTTTTATGTAACCTCAGATTCTACCTTCCAAACATTTAATAACTACACCCTAAAAATGTTTCTTCCCCCCAAACAACGTCCTATGTACTCTGGGTAAGATTATATAAAACAATGGTTATATTATGTAACAAAAAGTTACTTTAAAGGACATACATACTATCAGTTTCACAGGACAAACATGGTGAATAAGGACAACAAACTCCAGAATGTGTTTTTATAACTGTAGCAACAGCAATAACTCCTTGGCAAACTCAAACAGTTTTTTTGGCAACCCTGGAAGGTTTCTGCATTTGTCACTTGGATACAACTGCGGAGGGTTGTCTAAAACTGCTTTGTCTCCTTCCATACCATCTTACTATGGCTTTGCTTTTAAGGAAGAAATTTCACATTTTACTTTAACTTGTTTGTGAATAAAATTCCGTTACAATCCCACAAGGGAGTTTTATATAAAACTTCTTATGCCTACATATCCCAAATGTGGTTTCTATATAATTTTAGTAATAAATGACCTTGCAGACTTTTGAAATCTATGGGAATAGAAATTTTGTTTCCCTTTCAAGAAGATAAAATGAGCTCTCTTTTTGAATTAAAATTACCAACATATGCAAATGTAAAAATTTTCTGAATGTATACAACTGGGTCTGCACATTTGTTATCATTATGAGCATCTTTTAAAATAAGATCCCAAGGACAAGAATGCTTTACTAACCTGCAGTGGTCTCTGTTTATCACTGCTCTTAGGAGATTTCAATCCACTTGTTTGCTGCTGTAAGAGAAGTTGTCTTGCTGCTTGGAGAGCCTAGAAGTAAAAAGGGAGCAATATCTAAATACTTTGCTGAAGGGTAAATTGATTATCAATAATTGATTATTCCTTGGTTAATAGTAAAAGGCTTCAATGTATGAGAACCCCTTTCCCATCCTCCTTTCTAGAGAGAATTATTAAAGATCTTCTTCTAATGTGATATAAAAATTCCACATATCACACATATACAACTTTACTTAAAGTCATGGAGATACATGTAATCCTGCAGGAAATAAAGTTAATTTGTTTAATGTGCTTAAAGAGGAAAAAATCATAAACTGCATCAATAACCTCATTTCCACAAGGAACTTGTCTTTGAGTGTTCAACTAAAATGCCCACTCCCTTTTAAATTATCATTCAATTTGCATTTTCATATTACAATTTTGAAGCAAAAGCAGTAGACTTCAAGTGTTACCGGAAGCTGTAATTAAATTTGACAAATCAACATCAGATTATCTTGAAAGTGAATTAATAAGGATTTTCACTAAAGATTAAAAACACTTTTTTTGTACTTACAATTCAAGGGAAACCTCTCCTTTGACAAAATAAAGTGCAGTTTTAATGCCAAATAAAATTGAGTGGTTTTCATTTGCATTCTTAGCAAAATCAGAGAACAAAGAAATTACCACTCAACCAATCAGGTTTGTTTCTATGTGTGACAGAATACCAATCAAAATAGAAGATGTTTTCATTTATTTTCCTGTTTTTTTTTTCCCATTCAGGAAAATAAAATTTAATATAAGAAGTTATATTAAATTTCTTTTACAGGAGGAGGGACAGTTTGGTGAGTGTATTATATAAACATATAAAAACGAGTACCCTAAAAAATACATATTGAGATGTTTTAAAAGTAGCAATGTAAATTGGAGGGAAAAAAAACTTTTTAAGAGCCTCTCCTTTGCAAACTCCTTTTTTCTCTCAATAACTGAGTTCAATGAACACTAATGATGAAATTTTTCAACACATACAACTAAAATAAATCATTGCCCTACTCTGTTATTCGGTGCTTTAGAATACGAGGTAAATTCTTCATGATGGGAGAAATATCTTAGATCAATATTCTACTATGATAATTGAGATTCTAAGCTGATAAAAAGTACAATTTTGATTGGAATCAATGATCTGGTTTTTAAGAGAGTTTCTAGTATCCATGACAACAGTTGCTTTGACAAGATGTGCATATGGCATTACACTGCCAGCCGGTGTGAACAATGTTTGAACTACTGCATTGAGATGCTGAGCAAACAGAAAAAGTTGCCACGTCTTAACCCTCAGGGAAGGCAGTCATCCCCTGATCAATTATGAAAAGACAGAGAGAGGGCTGCTACAGTCTGGCTCCAAGCAAGTTTTCTGAGAAGGCAGGCAGACATAGAAACCAAAGTAAACAAACTGAAGGCACCAGCACCATCCCCTAACAACACTGATTTGTCTTCTCGGAGCAGGATCTGGCCTACTTTGTAAAGCACACTTTTTACATTTGGAGACACACTCACTCATAGCAATCTTTTGTGTTTTTTTTTTCTTCCAATTTTTCAAGTAATTCCAACCCTAAATGTTTCTAAGAATGGCACATTCCAGTGAACTCAGGCAATTTTATTATAAAGTTAACTTTGAAAAAAAAAAGACCAAATAAAAAATTCCACAAATACTTGATTATCACCAAACTTAGTTTAAAATATTTCACTTAATATTCTAAATAATACAGCTTTCCTTTTTTTAATCGCAACCTATGAAATAGCTCCAAATGACATTTTTTAAGTGGAAATTACTATAGTGTGACCTAGGCTGTATTGTGTCTATGTGAAACTCTCAAAGAAAAAAAAAATCCGTCAACTATTTTTGCCTTAGATGCCAAAATCCACACCAATTTTGCCTAATTTTTTTCATAAGATTATTATTTCCCTTTGAGTTCATCAGCTTAATTTGTATACATGGAGTCTTAGTTTATATTTAATTCTGTAGCTATTTATTATTCTTGAAGGAATCTAATGAACACAGTTCTGAATCTTGAAATCATTCCTGGCTGGGACTAAAAGCACTCTTAGAAATCATCTACTCTGGGTTAGCCTGGTGATGGGTATTGAGGAGGGCACGCTCTGCATGGAGCACTGGGTGTTATGCACAAACAATGAATCATGGAACACTACATCCAAAACGAATGATGTAATGTATGGGGACTAACATAACAATAAAAAATTAAAAAAAAGAAATCATCTACTCTGATGTCCTCAGTTTAGCAAATGAGAATAATGAGGCCTAGAGTAATCAAGTGTTTTGTTCTAGGCCTCCTGCTTCCAGGCCAGAGTGCATTCTAGTGGGCCATACTGTCTCTGTCCCATCAAAGAAACCATTAGATGGCAATGAATAAAACTCTAGTAAAAGAGAACATATGGCACCATGATGAATTATTTTCACCTGTAAAGAGAGAATATTCATTTATCAAAACCTGAAAGAAAAACTACAACATAATCTTTTTATATTTGAATATGTAAGTGTTTGAATGGAACAACCACCACCGAATATATATTGTTTTTATGGCTAAGTGTTCCTGCCGTCCTTGACTTGGGTTTCACCATACACTCTACCAATACCTGATGGAACTCTAAACTCTTGTAACCCTCTGATCATTTCACCAGTTATTATAAATAAACTAAAGAATTCTAGAGCTGGACATAAGTCTTACAGATTGTTTAGCTTAGCCTTCGTACTCTGTAGACAAGTGACTGAAGAACCAATAATATGACAATAACTTGATTAAAGTCCAAAGCAGTAGCACAGTTGGTCAAAAGTTCAGGCTCTTGTGTCCCAAGCCTAGGACCCTATTCATTTCATCACCCTGCATGATGTTCATTCAGCCCAACCCAAACAAGTAACCCAATGGAATATGTAACACCCAGTGGCTACAGAAAGACCCTGGAAAATTAGATCTATTAGAACTGCAGCTCACGAAAATCTCACTGGACAAAAGCATACATGTACACTGTTTTTAAAGGAGTAATAATTATAATGGAATATGACCAATGGCTGGTTAAACTTTTAAAGTACCTTGGTTTCCGTACACACTTAGAGTTATCTTCAAAATAATCCAGGATCCTCATTCAATACAAATTCTTATGAAAAAGGACCACTTGCCTATCTCAACATTCTTTTAGTAGCAGTAGAGACTGCTAGAGTAAACCTAAGAGCTGGGAGAACAAAAAGGACTCCAAGAGGTCAGGATGATTTAAAACTCATAAGCAGGAATCTTTGGCGGTTTGCATTCTCACAGCAGGCATCGCGTGACATTTTTATTCCCAGTATTCTGGATATCACTTTAGGACTGCATTTCGACAAACAACTGCTCAGAGACATTTAGTTCATCTTTGTAATTTATTATTGTAGTGACGCAAAAGATGAAAGATTATGAGATAAAATACTTTCATCAATATAAGGTGTTAGGTGTCAAATTACATAAAATATTAATTTGAAAATCACTTGCCCACTTCAGTTAGTAAATAGAAAAGATAAATTCCAGGACCAGGCATTAAGTTCTACGGGCTGTTTAGGTAATTATATGATCACCCTCTACAAAAACAAAAACAAAACTTAGAACAAAAGGCAAGAGCTGTTTACAAAATCTCCTTTAACAATGACTGAGTGTGATTCTAGTGAACAACAAGAGAGAGGTTTCTGAGGCAGCCAAGCCATATCTAGTTTCCAAAAACACATTTGTTTTGAATTAAGAGTGCACTTTACTTAATGAAGTTATCTAATTTTAGTAAAACTAAAAAAAATTAAGGTAGGACATTTTAAAAATTGGAATCAGATTAAACTAAAATATCTTGAAAAGATGACTAAAAATCTTTCTAATAGATTAAAATATACTTTTTGTTAGGCTGCAGAGGTGTGGGTATGCACAAATTTTTCAGAATTCAGTGCATCTTGCTCTAAAAAATGGGCTACATTTTATGTTAACTAACTGGAATTTAAATAAAGACTTAGAAAATATTCATTGAAAACACCATTCCTACTTGTTACTGTTTAATTTCAAATAAATTAAAATTCTGTAAGAAAAACAAAGTCCAAGCATATCACCCTTCACAATTGTAATAACGTTATGCTACCTATGAATCTCATATACAGAGAGTAACTCTAGTGAGGAGGTCATTATGAGAATTAAGAGTAAAAAAGCTTTGTAACCTGTCAGATCAATACTGTTTTCTTATGAAGAACACTGAAAACTTTCACCAGGAGTAAAATTGTTTGAGAATAGCTTAGAAACACCCAGTGAAACAAAAAAATGTTGAATATCCTAAGGTTTATAAATAACTTTTTTTTTCAAAGTAAATATATGTATATTTTGGGAGAAAACAGACATCACTCATATCTCTCCCCATAAAAATAGGAATGCTTAACCTATCAGCCTGTTGCATTTGAGACATTAAAATGAAAAATGACATCTACACCCATTAATATCTTCAATGTATAAACAGCACAGCATGACACATTCTTGAGAGCTGAAGGCTACAAAATCTCTCTGAAACATAAATAACAAAGCACTCAGAAGCATATTTGATGTTGATATTCATCTCTGAGAAAAACACTGCTGCCTAGGCTTCTTATGAAAATAGATGCAGCCCAAATGGATCTCCTGTAATTGGTTTCAGATAGCGAGGTCAGAAGAAATATGATACAAGAAACGATTATGCGGAACAGGCAAAACAAGAATGTTTACACAGGCACTCCCTAGTTATACTGACAAGGGGTGTATACTTTGCAGATAACCAGAACCAGAAAAAAAAAAAAAATTGCCAGCAGGACATTCAAAATTTTGCTCCTCATACTCACATGTTTTAACCTTTAACTTATGATGCCTTTAACATGTTACTTTGAATACTGAACGTAAAATAAGTTTTCAAACAGAATTTCATTGTCTAATTATTTTCACAAGTGTGGTTGATAAAAAGCATATTCGGATTCTTCCACAAAGGACATGAATTCCTATTCTGTTCAGCCT